TATCTGTTTGGTGATTATTTTTTTAGATGTGCAATATCTTATATAAGCTTATTTTTATAATGATATGCTGCTCATGTTTAGAAAAAGCCTTGCTGTACTAGGAATTAATCAACTAGGTATATTTATTTTTAGTAAAAACTGTCTTTCTACTATGTTGAATATTTTAGATTTTATGACAACCTCACAATGTTCCAAGACTAGCATAAAAGGAAAAAATTAGTCAAATACCATATATTATTAATTTGCACTGAGGGAAATAAAATTATAAATTTTTAAAGCTATTCCTTTCCCTACCTTTGATCCACCAATGACTGATGGAGTTCCTACTGCTTTTGACATGGAGGTGCCTTTGACAGAGTGGTGTAATGTACAAATGTCGCAAGATTTAAAGATAGAATTCATAAACATGTTACAAAAAATTAACTGGATCCTGAAAATAAACTTAAATTAGAATATAAGCAAATAGTAAGCTAGAATGTGTTACATTGCAGTTAATAATTTCAAATTTGAAGAAGTGTCTGTTTAATAAGAGAGGGTAAAAATATAAAATTATATTCTTGCAAGACTGCAAACAAGGAATACTATTAAATATGTGCCGTAAATAAAAAAATAAAAAAAAACAACACAAACTGGTGAAGTTTGTGTGCAAATGTTTAATATATTTTCAATCATATTAAAAAAATAAATAAGTGTACACTTTTGAATGCATACCCTTCAAATTTAACTGGAATAAACATTTTTTTTTTCACTCGAGGTCAATATAATAAATAATGAGCAACAGATAATATCTGTTTGGTGATTTTTTTTTTTTAACTGTGCAATATGTTGAGGGAAATAAAGTTGTAAATTTCATAATTAAGAGGTAATATGAAAATTACTCTATGTCGCTCAGCACTCTCTACTTTCAAACACAAGGCAGCCATCTACTTAACATGGGCACAGGCCAAAATAATTCTTTGGGTATTCTTCCACTAAATATTTCATGTTTTATTATTTTTTTTATAATTGCACTAATTTATGGATTGTTGTATTCTGGAAATGAAACTTACTACTACATTATGACAAGCATCAATTGTTATCATAAAATACAATTATTTTTGGGAACAGTGGTCAGAGATGAAAATACATTCAAATGGTGTTCCTGTAGTAAGGAGATTTTTTTTTTTATCTTTCTTAGGCCTCATTATTTATTTATTTATTCAGATAAACAATTTAATTAGATAAGTCGGTAAGGAACTGCATGCCCAACAAAGTAACTTTCTTATACAAGTTAATTACTCTCATAGAAAAAAATAAAACAAGTTGAAAAATTGAGGAAATAAGAAATAAACATACTCTGAAGAAGCGTCACATAAGCGTCAAAGGTTTGAAGGTATAGGATCAGGAGAACAGAAGCTCCTAGGGGCTAAGGCTCCCTGTCTGAGCTATGATCATAGCTTAACTTGAATGCAACTTCTCGCCAATTTATACGTTTATAGTCTTATTATCTAGCCTGACTTTTATAGTTAATATTTAAATGTTTCATACATAGTATGAGCATAATATACGAACATATTTTAAGTTTAAGTTTAATATTATTAAAATGAATATATGCTATAAATCATCAACTTTGTCGATGTTTCATTAAATCTACCTAAAATTATGTTTTCCACACAACAGCTCATACTTATTAAATAACAAATATCTTAGTAATTGACTATTACAATATATGCATATAAAAAATATTGGAGACACGTCCCGGCCTTCGGTCCGATGGGTCTTGGAGCCGAGAATTAATATTTTATATCATTCAAGAGAAATTTATGTACTGTTTTTTTTTCCTGCTTTACTTTTTGCCCGGGTGGTTACGGGGTGGTTAACCAAAGGTAGGAATAAAGAACAATACACAAATTTCTCTTGAAATGATATAAAATATTTTTTTCTCGTCTCCAAGACAAATCGGACCGAAGGCCGGGTTGTGTGTCCAATATTTTTTATTGAAGTTGATGATTTATAGCACATATCTAATTTAATAATATTAAACTTAAGCTTAAAATATGAGCGTATATTATGCTCATACTATGTATGTATCATTTAAATATTGATTCTAAAAGTCACGCTTCATAATAAGACTATAAACACATCAATTGGCGAGAAGTTGCATTCTAGTTAAGCTAAGGCCAATGATCAGACAGTGAGCCTTAGCGCCTAGGAGCTTCTGATCTCCTAATACTTCACCATTGGAGCTTTGACGCTTATGTGACGCTTCTTCAGAGTGCTTTTATGTATTATTTCTTCAATTTTTTGTTTGTTTAATTTTTTATACTGGAGTAATTAAATTATATCAAAGGTCAGTATTTTTAGCTCAATTTTTTTCAAAACACTAAGAAGATCTCAACCAATAATTTAAGCCATGAAATTTAAAAATAGATCCAGCCATTTGCTCCCAGTCTAGAAATCCCATCAAAACATATTTACATCTCCTCCTAAACCAACTACTTCCTGTCCTACAGCATCCTCTAATAATACTCCACTTATCTCTGTTCAACAAAGCTGATACCTATGACTCCACCTGGACAAACATCTAACTTTGAATCCTCACAATAAAAATAAATAAAAATGTAAACTTTTAAAGCTCTTCCTTTCCCTCACATTGATCCACCAATGACTGATGGTATTCCTAGTCCCTTTGATATGGAGGTGATACTTTGAAATTGAATTGAATGAACTAGTTAGGAGGAGAATGTAGGAATAACCTGTGCCAGATGTTCACCAGCTATCAGATTCAGTTGACTGTATGTGAATGGGATCAGATGGGTTCTAGTAAAAAAAATTAATCAGAAGAATCAGTTAAATTGTTAAAGATAAAATATATATTGATCATATCATTTTAAAAAATAATGTACAAATCATTATCACCTTCCACTCATAGTGCAGAATGATGCAATGTACAAATTTCGCAAGATTTAAAGATAGAATTCATAAACATTTTACAAAAAATTAACTGGATCCTGAAAATAAACTTAAATTAGAATATAAGCAAATAGTAAGTTAGAATGTGTTACATTGCAGTTTATAATTTCAAATTTGAAGAAGTGTCTGTTTAATAAGTGAGGGTAAAAATATAAAATTATATTCTTGCAAGACTGCAAACTAGGAATACTATGAAATATTGACAGTAAAAAATAAAAAAATTAAAAAACAACAGAAACTGGTGAAGTTTGTGTGCAGATGTTTAATGTATATTCAATCATATTAAAAAAATAAATAAGTGTACACTTTTGAATGTATACCCTTCAAATTTAACTGGAATAAACATTTTTTTTTTTTCACTAGAGGTAAATATAATAAATATTGAACAACAGATAATATCTGTTTGGTGATTATTTTTTTAGATGTGCAATATCTTATATAAGCTTATTTTTATAATGATATGCTGCTCATGTTTAGAAAAAGCCTTGCTGTACTAGGAATTAATCAACTAGGTATATTTATTTTTAGTAAAAACTGTCTTTCTACTATGTTGAATATTTTAGATTTTATGACAACCTCACAATGTTCCAAGACTAGCATAAAAGGAAAAAATTAGTCAAATACCATATATTATTAATTTGCACTGAGGGAAATAAAATTATAAATTTTTAAAGCTATTCCTTTCCCTACCTTTGATCCACCAATGACTGATGGAGTTCCTACTGCTTTTGACATGGAGGTGCCTTTGACAGAGTGGTGTAATGTACAAATGTCGCAAGATTTAAAGATAGAATTCATAAACATTTTACAAAAAATTAACTGGATCCTGAAAATAAACTTAAATTAGAATATAAGCAAATAGTAAGCTAGAATGTGTTACATTGCAGTTTATAATTTCAAATTTGGAGAAGTGTCTGTTTAATAAGAGAGGGTGAAAATATAAAATTATATTCTTGCAAGACTGCGAATAAGGAATACTATTAAATATGTGCCGTAAATAAAAAAAAAATTTAAAAAAAAAACACAAACTGGTGAAGCTTGTGTGCAAATGTTTAATATATTTTCAATCATATTAAAAAAATAAATAAGTGTACACTTTTGAATGTATACCCTTCAAATTTAACTGGAATAAACATTTTTTTTTTCACTAGAGGTAAATATAATAAATATTGAACAACAGATAATATCGGTTTGGTGAATATTTTTTTAGATGTGCAATATCTTATATAAGCTTATTTTTATAATGATATGCTGCTCATGTTTAGAAAAAGCCTTGCTGTACTAGGAATTAATCAACTAGGTATATTTATTTTTAGTAAAAACTGTCTTTCTACTATGTTGAATATTTTAGATTTTATGACAACCTCACAATGTTCCAAGACTAGCATAAAAGGAAAAAATTAGTCAAATACCATATATTATTAATTTGCACTGAGGGAAATAAAATTATAAATTTTTAAAGCTATTCCTTTCCCTACCTTTGATCCACCAATGACTGATGGAGTTCCTACTGCTTTTGACATGGAGGTGCCTTTGACAGAGTGGTGTAATGTACAAATGTCGCAAGATTTAAAGATAGAATTCATAAACATTTTACAAAAAATTAACTGGATCCTGAAAATAAACTTAAATAGATAGAAGATATAAGTCAAATAGTAAGCTAGAATGTGTTACATTGCAGTTTATAATTTCAAATTTGGAGAAGTGTCTGTTTAATAAGAGAGGGTGAAAATATAAAATTATATTCTTGCAAGACTGCGAATAAGGAATACTATTAAATATGTGCCGTAAATAAAAAAAAAATTAAAAAAAAAGACACAAACTGGTGAAGCTTGTGTGCAAATGTTTAATATATTTTCAATCATATTAAAAAAATAAATAAGTGTACACTTTTGAATGTATACCCTTCAAATTTAACTGGAATAAACATTTTTTTTTTCACTAGAGGTAAATATAATAAATATTGAACAACAGATAATATCGGTTTGGTGAATATTTTTTTAGATGTGCAATATGTTATATAAGCTTATTGTTATAATGATATGCTGCTCACGTTTAGAAAAAGCCTTGCTGTACTAGGAATTAATCAAGTAGGTACATCTATTTTTAGTAAAAACTATGTTTCCACTATGTTGAATATTTTAGGTTTTATTACATCCTTACAATGTTCCAAGACTAGCATAAAAGGAGAAAATTAGTCAATTACCAAATATTATCAATTTGCACTGAGGGAAATAAAATTATAAATTTTTAAAGCTATTCCTTTCCCTACCTTTGATCCACCAATGACTGATGGAGTTCCTACTGCTTTTGACATGGAGGTGCCTTTGACAGAGTGGTGTAATGTACAAATGTCGCAAGATTTAAAGATAGAATTCATAAACATGTTACAAAAAATTAACTGGATCCTGAAAATAAACTTCCAGGAGAATATAAGTAAATAATTAGCTTGAATGTGATACATTGAAATTTATAATTTCAATTTTGAAGAAGTGTATGTTTAATAAGAGAGGGTAAAAATATAAAATTATATTCTTGCAAGACTGCGAACAAGGAATACTATTAAATATGTGCCGTAAATAAAAAAAAATTAAAAAAAAAGACACAAACTGGTGAAGCTTGTGTGCAAATGTTTAATATATTTTCAATCATATTTAAAAAATAAATAAGTGTACACTTTTGAATGTATACCCTTCAAATTTAAGTAGAATAAACATTTTTTTTTGACTAGAGGTAAATATAATAAATATTGAACAACAGATAATATCGGTTTGGTGAATATTTTTTTAGATGTGCAATATGTTATATAAGCTTATTTTTATAATGATATGCTGCTCACTTTTAGAAAAAGCCTTGCTGTACTAGGAATTAATCAAGTAGGTACATCTATTTTTAGTAAAAACTATCTTTCTACTATGTTGAATATTTTAGGTTTTATTACATCCTTACAATGTTCCAAGACTAGCATAAAAGGAGAAAATTAGTCAATTACCAAATATTATCAATTTGCACTGAGGGAAATAAAATTATAAATTTTTAAAGCTATTCCTTTCCCTACCTTTGATCCACCAATGACTGATGGAGTTCCTACTGCTTTTGACATGGAGGTGAGGTGCCTTTGACAGAGTGGTGTAATGTACAAATGTCGCAAGATTTAAAGATAGAATTCATAAACATGTTACAAAAAATTAACTGGATCCTGAAAATAAACTTCCAGAAGAATATAAGTAAATAATTAGCTTGAATGTGATACATTGAAATTTATAATTTCAATTTTGAAAAAGTGTCTGTTTAATAAGAGAGGGTAAAAATATAAAATTATATTCTTGCAAGACTGCGAACAAGGAATACTATTAAATATGTGCCGTAAATAAAAAAAAAAATTAAAAAAAAGACACAAACTGGTGAAGTATGTGTGCAAATGTTTAATATATTTTCAATCATATTTAAAAAATAAATAAGTGTACACTTTTGAATGTATACCCTTCAAATTTAAGTAGAATAAACATTTTTTTTTCACTAGAGGTAAATATAATAAATATTGAACAACAGATAATATCGGTTTGGTGAATATTTTTTTAGATGTGCAATATGTTATATAAGCTTATTTTTATAATGATATGCTGCTCACTTTTAGAAAAAGCCTTGCTGTACTAGGAATTAATCAAGTAGGTACATCTATTTTTAGTAAAAACTATCTTTCTACTATGTTGAATATTTTAGGTTTTATTACATCCTTACAATGTTCCAAGACTAGCATAAAAGGAGAAAATTAGTCAATTACCAAATATTATCAATTTGCACTGAGGGAAATAAAATTATAAATTTTTAAAGCTATTCCTTTCCCTACCTTTGATCCACCAATGACTGATGGAGTTCCTACTGCTTTTGACATGGAGGTGAGGTGCCTTTGACAGAGTGGTGTAATGTACAAATGTCGCAAGATTTAAAGATAGAATTCATAAACATGTTACAAAAAATTAACTGGATCCTGAAAATAAACTTCCAGGAGAATATAAGTAAATAATTAGCTTGAATGTGATACATTGAAATTTATAATTTCAATTTTGAAGAAGTGTCTGTTTAATAAGAGAGGGTAAAAATATAAAATTATATTCTTGCAAGACTGCGAACAAGGAATACTATTAAATATGTGCCGTAAATAAAAAAAAAAATTAAAAAAAAGACACAAACTGGTGAAGTATGTGTGCAAATGTTTAATATATTTTCAATCATATTTAAAAAATAAATAAGTGTACACTTTTGAATGTATACCCTTCAAATTTAAGTAGAATAAACATTTTTTTTTCACTAGAGGTAAATATAATAAATATTGAACAACAGATAATATCGGTTTGGTGAATATTTTTTTAGATGTGCAATATGTTATATAAGCTTATTTTTATAATGATATGCTGCTCACTTTTAGAAAAAGCCTTGCTGTACTAGGAATTAATCAAGTAGGTACATCTATTTTTAGTAAAAACTATCTTTCTACTATGTTGAATATTTTAGGTTTTATTACATCCTTACAATGTTCCAAGACTAGCATAAAAGGAGAAAATTAGTCAATTACCAAATATTATCAATTTGCACTGAGGGAAATAAAATTATAAATTTTTAAAGCTATTCCTTTCCCTACCTTTGATCCACCAATGACTGATGGAGTTCCTACTGCTTTTGACATGGAGGTGAGGTGCCTTTGACAGAGTGGTGTAATGTACAAATGTCGCAAGATTTAAAGATAGAATTCATAAACATGTTACAAAAAATTAACTGGATCCTGAAAATAAACTTCCAGAAGAATATAAGTAAATAATTAGCTTGAATGTGATACATTGAAATTTATAATTTCAATTTTGAAAAAGTGTCTGTTTAATAAGAGAGGGTAAAAATATAAAATTATATTCTTGCAAGACTGCGAACAAGGAATACTATTAAATATGTGCCGTAAATAAAAAAAAAAATTAAAAAAAAGACACAAACTGGTGAAGTATGTGTGCAAATGTTTAATATATTTTCAATCGTATTAAAAAAATAAATAAGTGTACACTTTTGAATGTATACCCTTCAAATTTAACTAGAATAAACATTTTCTTTCACAAGAGGTAAATATAATAAATATTGAACAACAGATAATATCTGTTTGGTGAATATTTTTTTAGATGTGCAATATGTTATATAAGCTTATTTTTATAATGATATGCTGCTCATGTTTAGAAAAAGCCTTGCTGTACTAGGAATTAATCAAGTAGGTACATCTATTTTTAGTAAAAACATCTTTCTACTATGTTGAATATTTCAGGTTTTATTACATCCTTACAATGTTCCAAGACTAGCATAAAAGGAAAAAATTAGTCAAATACCATATATTATTAATTTGCACTGAGGGAAATAAAATTATAAATTTTCAAAGCTATTCCTTTCCCTACCTTTGATCCACCAATGACTGATGGAGTTCCTACTGCTTTTGACATTTAGGTGCCTTTGACAGAGTGGTGTAATGTACAAATGTTGCAAGATTTAAAGATAGAATTCATAAACATGTTACAAAAAATTAACTGGATCCTGAAAATAAACTTCCAGGAGAATATAAGTAAATAATTAGCTTGAATGTGATACATTGAAATTTATAATTTCAATTTTGAAGAAGTGTCTGTTTAATAAGAGAGGGTAAAAATATAAAATTATATTCTTGCAAGACTGCGAACAAGGAATACTATTAAATATGTGCCGTAAATAAAAAAAAAAATTAAAAAAAAGACACAAACTGGTGAAGTATGTGTGCAAATGTTTAATATATTTTCAATCATATTTAAAAAATAAATAAGTGTACACTTTTGAATGTATACCCTTCAAATTTAAGTAGAATAAACATTTTTTTTTCACTAGAGGTAAATATAATAAATATTGAACAACAGATAATATCGGTTTGGTGAATATTTTTTTAGATGTGCAATATGTTATATAAGCTTATTTTTATAATGATATGCTGCTCACTTTTAGAAAAAGCCTTGCTGTACTAGGAATTAATCAAGTAGGTACATCTATTTTTAGTAAAAACTATCTTTCTACTATGTTGAATATTTTAGGTTTTATTACATCCTTACAATGTTCCAAGACTAGCATAAAAGGAGAAAATTAGTCAATTACCAAATATTATCAATTTGCACTGAGGGAAATAAAATTATAAATTTTTAAAGCTATTCCTTTCCCTACCTTTGATCCACCAATGACTGATGGAGTTCCTACTGCTTTTGACATGGAGGTGAGGTGCCTTTGACAGAGTGGTGTAATGTACAAATGTCGCAAGATTTAAAGATAGAATTCATAAACATGTTACAAAAAATTAACTGGATCCTGAAAATAAACTTCCAGAAGAATATAAGTAAATAATTAGCTTGAATGTGATACATTGAAATTTATAATTTCAATTTTGAAAAAGTGTCTGTTTAATAAGAGAGGGTAAAAATATAAAATTATATTCTTGCAAGACTGCGAACAAGGAATACTATTAAATATGTGCCGTAAATAAAAAAAAAAATTAAAAAAAGACACAAACTGGTGAAGTATGTGTGCAAATGTTTAATATATTTTCAATCATATTAAAAAAATAAATAAGTGTACACTTTTGAATGTATACCCTTCAAATTTAACTGGAATAAACATTTTTTTTTCACTAGAGGTAAATATAATAAATATTGAACAACAGACAATATCTGTTTGGTGAATATTTTTTTAGATGTGCAATATGTTTTATAAGTTTATTTTTATAATGATATGCTGCTCACGTTTAGAAAAAGCCTTGCTGTACTAGGAATTAATCAAGTAGGTACATCTATTTTTAGTAAAAACTATGTTTCCACTATGTTGAATATTTTAGGTTTTATTACATCCTTACAATGTTCCAAGACTAGCATAAAAGGAGAAAATTAGTCAATTACCAAATATTATCAATTTGCACTGAGGGAAATAAAATTATAAATTTTTAAAGCTATTCCTTTCCCTACCTTTGATCCACCAATGACTGATGGAGTTCCTACTGCTTTTGACATGGAGGTGCCTTTGACAGAGTGGTGTAATGTACAAATGTCGCAAGATTTAAAGATAGAATTCATAAACATGTTACAAAAAATTAACTGGATCCTGAAAATAAACTTCCAGGAGAATATAAGTAAATAATTAGCTTGAATGTGATACATTGAAATTTATAATTTCAATTTTGAAGAAGTGTATGTTTAATAAGAGAGGGTAAAAATATAAAATTATATTCTTGCAAGACTGCGAACAAGGAATACTATTAAATATGTGCCGTAAATAAAAAAAAATTAAAAAAAAAGACACAAACTCGTGAAGTATGTGTGCAAATGTTTAATATATTTTCAATCATATTTAAAAAATAAATAAGTGTACACTTTTGAATGTATACCCTTCAAATTTAAGTAGAATAAACATTTTTTTTTCACTAGAGGTAAATATAATAAATATTGAACAACAGATAATATCGGTTTGGTGAATATTTTTTTAGATGTGCAATATGTTATATAAGCTTATTTTTATAATGATATGCTGCTCACTTTTAGAAAAAGCCTTGCTGTACTAGGAATTAATCAAGTAGGTACATCTATTTTTAGTAAAAACTATCTTTCTACTATGTTGAATATTTTAGGTTTATTACATCCTTACAATGTTCCAAGACTAGCATAAAAGGAGAAAATTAGTCAATTACCAAATATTATCAATTTGCACTGAGGGAAATAAAATTATAAATTTTTAAAGCTATTCCTTTCCCTACCTTTGATCCACCAATGACTGATGGAGTTCCTACTGCTTTTGACATGGAGGTGCCTTTGACAGAGTGACGCAATGTACAAATGTCGCAAGATTTAAAGATGGAATTCATAAACATTTTACAAAAAATTAACTGGATCCTGAAAATAAACTTCCAGGAGAATATAAGCAAATAATAAGCTAGAATGTGTTAACTTGCAGTTTATAATTTCAATTTTTAAGAAGTGTCAGTTTAATGAGAGATGTTATAATTATATTCTTGCAGGACTGAAAACTAGGAATACTATGAAATATTGAACGTAAATAAAAAAAAAATTAAAGAACAACAGAAACTGGTGAAGTTTCTGTGCAAATGTTTAATATATATTCAATCATATTAAAAAAGTAATTAAGTCTACACTTTTGAATGTATACACTTCAAATTTAACTGGAATAAACATTTTTTTTTTTTCACTAGAGGTAAATATAATAAATATTGAACAACAGATAATATCTGTTTGGTGAATTTTTTTTTTAGATGTGCAAGATGTCATATAAGCTTATTTTTATAATTATATGCTGCTCACGTTTAGAAAGAGCCTTGCTGTACTAGGAATTAATCAACTAGGTACATTTATTTTTAGTAAAAACCATGTTTCCACTATGTTGAATATTTTAGGATTTATTACAACCTTATAATGTTCTAAGACTAGCATACAAGGAGAAAATTAGTCTATTACCAAATATTATTAATTTGCACTGAGGGAAATAAAATTATAAATTTTTAAAGCTATTCCTTACCCTACCTTTGATCCACCAATGACTGATGGAGTTCCTACTGCCTTTGACATGGAGGTGCCTTTGACAGAGTGACGCAATGTACAAATGTCGCAAGATTTAAAGATGGAATTCATAAACATTTTACAAAAAATTAACTGGATCCTGAAAATAAACTTCCAGGAGAATATAAGCAAATAATAAGCTAGAATGTGTTAACTTGCAGTTTATAATTTCAATTTTTAAGAAGTGTCAGTTTAATGAGAGATGTTATAATTATATTCTTGCAGGACTGAAAACTAGGAATACTATGAAATATTGAACGTAAATAAAAAAAAAATTAAAGAACAACAGAAACTGGTGAAGTTTCTGTGCAAATGTTTAATATATATTCAATCATATTAAAAAAGTAAATAAGTGTACACTTTTGAATGTATATCCTTCAAATATAACTGGAATAAACATTTTTTTTTCACTAGAGGTAAATATAATAAATATTGAACAACAGATAATATCTGTTTGGTGAATTTTTTTTTTAGATGTGCAATATGTTTTATAAGCTTATTTCAATAATGATATCAGTTGGCCTCTGACTTTCATAGAGTGCGGTTGTACTGTGGAGTTATTCAGACTGTTTCTATATTTCATTTATTTATTTTATTTTCATGTATTTTGTCTTCTTTTTTTTAAATGTAATTAATGAAACCCGGCGAAGAATTAAGTGATTCGCCCGGTGTTTCCCTCACTACTAAAACGAACGTAGACCAACTTACGGACGAATCCTGTTCTAAGAAGAGAGTTCATGAAGCTATTGATTCACCTCAATCCCGATCACCAGTTAAAAAAATGGGCAAGTACTACCAGGAAATCGCTCCAATTAAAGTAAGCAATAGCTTTAATCATCTTACTGAAATTGACCTTTCATCCGATAAGCACACTACAGCAAGTACTAGTTATAAAAATAACCCAAATGTTCAATCCAATGATATTAGAATACCACCGATATTTTTACACAATGCTAACAATTACAGACTTCTATTAAATGACCTAAATGCATTATGTATCGGACCATTTAATACGCAACTGGCCGGTAACAACACAAAAATAATGCTATCAACCATTGAAGACTACAGAACTATGACTAAATATTACGATGAAGAAAAAATTGAATATCACACATTTTCCTCAGATAAAAATAAATATTTAAATATTGTCATAAGGAAGGTCCCTTATAGCATAACCGAAGATGAATTAAAGGCCGAGTTGAATTCCAAACAGTTCGAAGTTGTTTACGTTTCCAGAATATTGAATAAAGATAAGAAACCTACTCCTCTCTGCTCAGTGTCTATTATAAACAATGAAACGGCTAATGACATTTTCAAACTTAACAATTTATTTTCTGCTTTAATTACAGTCGAACCTAAACACAAGAAAAATGATATCCCCATGTGTACCAACTGTCAGAGATACGGCCACACAAAAAAATATTGTCATTTAGAGCCCCGGTGCGTTGAGTGCAAAGAAAAACACCACTTCTCTAAATGCCCGTTAAAATTCACAGATAAGCAATTTTGTGTAAACTGTAAATTGGCCCATGCAGCTACCTACAAGGGTTGCGTCTATTATCAAAATATAAAAAATAGAGTAAATTCACCTCTAGAGCCAACTAGTCAAAAAACTGAGAATATTTCTTCTAGACCTGCCTCCAGAATTACTTCAAAACAGTCATTC